ATTAGCTGCCTGTTTACGTTTTCCTGTGTTGAAGTCAATATATTCTTTCAGCTAAGGAGATTGCTAGAAGGCCAAGACGCGATGGACTTTCGTCAATTTGACACCAAGATCCAGGTAGAATTTCAAATTATTCTCTTGTTATGTAAGTTAAATGTAGGCGCAAATTTTGCAATGGAAGGTTCTTTCAAACCCAAGTCTCCTTTCAGCTGTTGACAATAAGGCTATATCATGTCATCTGCATGTTTTACTTTCTCCAAGTAAAGTAGAAAGTCGACACCGTGGAAGTCGTGAGGTTAATTATTCCAGATACACCTCTACTGATGTAATGAATGTCACTGTCTTCATATCCATTTGAAATATTAAATCCAACTGAACGTCATCCTCCGAAAGCCATCTATGGGCAATGACCGAGACAAAGCACATCATACAAATTATTTGCATCGAGATAGATGATGTATTTTGATTCCTCATCTACCTTTGTCTAAGATTCGGTAGTCTCGATAATTGTTTGCCTATTGTTTGAATCTCTTTACGGTGGCCAATTCACACTATCAACCCAGTTGATAAAACCAAATTATCTTGTTATACTCCCCACCTACGCAGCACCACAGTTTCTTTAGAAACTTACCCCCTCCACTGTAGTCCAAGATTCGGTAGTCAGATACTTATTGTTTACCTTACTGTGAAGATCATTCCAAATTACACTAATTCCTCCCTCGATAAACAAATGCATATCTCCATCTCTTAGTAGCTCAATTTCAATGCCGGGTATAACTTATAATAATTTAAGCAAATTTCTATAAAATATTCGAACACATTTGCCAGTAGAAGAATATCTGATTTCACATTCAAACAGTGGTACTCCCCCAGAGAACTAGTCTCAAACTGTTGAAGGAATATTCTCCGCACGAGCATAATTCTCCTCTGCAATGTGCTCAGCTTTCAGTGAGTTGTGAAAAACGGCATAATGGCAGAAGGTGGGGGTGGGAGGCAGAAAATTTGTTCACGTTTGTTTTGGGTTTTCCTTAACTTCCCCAATTGTTTCGCAGGACGAGTTTTCACAGGTGTTTCTGTGCATAATGGATAAACTCATCTTTGAAATGTTCCAGGAGCAAGCCAGTTTACCCATCCCCGACCACCTCTTGGTCTTTAAAAAAAAATTCATAAAAAACGCTGTCCACAACGCCTCACCTCAACGCCGCTTCGGATACACCTTCAAAACCTGGAGGACTTGCGCTGTCCCCGACTGGACCAGCTGGTTCCAAAAATGTGAAGTAGTCCAGTACCAACGAAGACGAAGGCCACAGAATTTGCAATTTGGCTGGCTGACAAAGACTTGTACGCCAGTATAGTTTAATCTTCTTTTCAACATTAAATTTATGGATGCTACAATTGATGGATAATCAAGGAAGTCAAATCGGCATCAAGATGAGGAAATGAAGACTGTGTCATTCTTTGTAAATTTAGTTGAGCGTGCACGAATCCAACCAATTGTA